TTTTCTCATGCTGATTTTAATATTTTCTCCTTATCCTTAAACTTTGTCGGTTTGCTTACTACATGCTTTGGTGTGTTCCTCTCTGGGTTGGTCCTATGTGGAACTCTCTGTGCTTCCTGGACGTGGGTGACTGTGTCCTTTCCTAAGTTAGGGAAGTTTTCAGTTACTGTCTCTTCAAAAATTTTCTCAGGTCCTTTCTCCTCTTTCTGGCACCCCTATAATGCAAACATTAGTGCACTTCATGTCATCCCAGAGTTTTCGTAAACTATGCTCATTTCATTTTTTTTTCTTGTTCTGCAGTAGTGATTTCTCCAATCTGTTTTCTAGCTCTGATCCGTTCTTCCGCCTCATTTAATCTACTCTTGGTTCCTTCTAGTGTGTTATGTATTTCAGTGATTTTAGTCTTCAGCTCTCGGTATTCTCTGTATTTTCCATCTCTTTGCTAAAATCTTCACTCTGTGCATCTATACTCCTCTTGAGTTCTCTGAACATCTTCACCACCATTAGCCTACACTCTTTCTCGGATAGATTGCCTGTCTCCTCATCACTGATTTCTTCTGGGATTTTACCCTGTGCCTTGGCCTCGGACATACTCCCCTGCCGCCTCATGTTGTTTATCTTCCTACTTGTATTTTCAGGTGGGTTAGTTATGTGTCTCCCTCTGTGGGAGACGTTCTGTGCGTCCCAGCAGTGCACTCCTCTCTTGCCACCCCAGGGCCAGGGTCCAGCTGGTCCCAGTGTGGTCTGGCTTGTGTGTGGACTCCTTCCACAGGCTTTGGAATGTTTTCTTATTTTTAGTATCTGACCCCTGGTGGATGAGGCTGGACCAGAGGCTTATGCAGGTGTCCTGGCAGGAGGAGCCAGTGCCTGCCCGCTGCTGGGTGAAGCTTGGTCCTGGACCTCTGGTGGGTGGGGCCGTGTCGAGGGGCATTCTGAGGCTCAGGAAGTCTGCTGATGGGTGGGACCTTGTTCCCACCCAGGATGTTGTTTGGTCTGAGGCGGGGCAGTCCCTCCAAGAAGACTGCTCAGAAGAAAACAGGAGCTTCTTCAAAAGAAACGCCTTCCTGGTGTAGTTCCCTCTCTCTGGTTCCAGTTGAAGGAGATCTTTTTTGCTGGGTTCCAGTCTTTTCTTTCAGTGGTCGTTTAGCAGTCAGCTGTGGTTTCGTTGTAGTTGCGAGGAGAGGCGAGCTCGTGGTCCTGCTACTCTGCCATCTCGTATAAATTCTTATTTAAATGACCACGGGGAAAGAACCACGTGAAGCACTTGAGTGTGCTTGGGTATTCAAGTGCTTAAGGCAGCTTAAACAGTCCCCTTCACCCTGTAGCTTGAACGCCCCACTCTGTTTTTAATACGTTGATTTAACTTGGCACTTTAAGAATAGTTAACTTCAACTTTTAACTTTGATACTGCAAGTCAGTAAGTCTGAACTAATGGGGTTTTTACTCTACGGCACCCTGGGAGCTCCATGTGTGATAAACGGGGTGATGCAGCCTTAGAAGCTGAAATCCAGATTTGTTACCTTTAAATTTAGTTTTAATCATTTATCTGATTAAAGTCTAATATTTGAGAAATCGTGAACAGTCCACGTCAGTACACGAGAGAATGGACGCCAGGAAGCTGCAGCCCCTCTGGTCCCACAGAGAGAAGAGTGCGCAGCCCTGAGGGAGGGGGCGCCTCTGTCTGAAAACCAGCCCACGAGGCCCAGTAGCCTGAGAGACCGAACCCTCTGAACCTGCCTCCCACGTTCTCCTGTGAGAACCTGTCTCTGGATTTAAACACAAATTGCATTTGCTCTAGACAATTGGTGACAGTGATCTCTGCTGGACTGCCTTTTTCCCCTCCTGGAAAATGAAAAACTGGTTCAGTGACTCCAGACAGCTTGGAAACTGGCAACAGGATGGTGGCGATGTCACTGTGTCCCCAGCTTTTATGAAATCTCCCCTTGGATCTAGGCTGCAGCTCCAGCTCCAGCTCCCAGGCTGTCTAGGTCAGTGTGTTGCCTTTAATTCCCACTCTGGCCCGTTTCCCATGTGTTTTTAAAGGTATAATTGTTATACAGCAGATGAGCGTCAGCTGTACAATGAGACTTGCTACCTGCATACATTGCCAAATGGTCACAGTGAGTCTTGTTAACATAGTGACCATAGTTACAGTAAATTTTCTTGCGATGAGAACTTTTTAACATGCAGGTACTGGGGATGGAATCCAGGACCTGGTGCACGCTGAGCACACACTGTGGTGCTCTACCACTGAGCTCTGCCCTGTGATGACAACTTCCGGGATCGACTCTCTCAGTGACTTACAGATACGCAGTCCAGGATTAACCGTAGTCACCACGCGATACACTGCATCCTCATGACTCAGTTGTAACTGGAAGTTTGTACCTTTTGATCCCCTTCACCGATTTCTCCCATACCCACCCCTGCTTCTGGCAACACCAATTTTTTTTTAAAGATTCCACATAATGATAAGGGGTTTTCTTTGACTTATCTCACTCAGCTTAATGCCCTCATGGTCCGTCCATGTTGTCCCATATGGCAAGACTTCATCCTTATGGCTAAACAGTATCCCACTGTGTAGATACACCACATCTTTCCCACTGTGTGGATACACCACATCTTCTTTCCCACTGTGTGGATACACCACATCTTCGTCATCATCCATCGATGGACACTCAGGTTGTCTCCGTATCTTGGCTACTGTGAATAATGCTGCAGTGAACGTGGGTGGGGGGCACGCTTATAACTTTACCCCACATATTCTTCGTGGGATAGCATTATAAAAAGAACCACTGCAACCTGGCGTCAGTTTTTCTGTATTTCACATGGTTCAGAAACTAAATCTAAACAAATCTCGACTGTTTAAAACAATGATAATGATGACTCATTGGAGAAGATGGCAAGGAGCAACCGTGGTAGTGGTCACCCTGTTAGACTGGTGAGGGGGGAAGGAGTCCAGGGTTGTCCTATCATGCAGACAGGGACAGTGCTTTGGGTGGAGAAGGCGGGAGAGGGTCGGGGGAAGAGTACTTGACTGTGGAGAAACCTGACACACTAGTGGTCGTAAATCGTGTTGACAGTGGGTACCCCTATGTGACATGTGGGGAGCTGCACGTGACGCTCTTCCTCCCCCAAAGCCATAATCCCAGTGAGAAAAAACAGCAGACAAACGCCAGTAGAGGGAAGCCCTCAACACCCCCGACTTCAGCACCGTCAAGACCCTCATAAACCAGGAAGGTGTGAGCACGTGGCACAGGGAGCATCTAAGGAGACATGACAGCTAGTTGGCATGTGGTGCCCTGGGTGGGACCCTGGGAAAAGGACACTAGGCCGAGTCTCCCTCTGGAGTAAGCCTGGGCACTTCAGAAGGCAGACTCTGGTGCTTATTTTTTAATCGAAGTGCTCCCCGTGTGCAGCAAAGGCTCAGCTTCACACAGACACATTGTTTCAGATTCCTTCCCATTATAGGTCACTCCCTGTGCTCTACAGGAGGACCCTGTTTATCTGTTTTATATACAGTAGTTTGTTAATCCCAAACTCCTAATTTATCCCTCCTCCTTTTTCCCCTTTGGTAACCTTGTGTTTTCTATGTCTGTGAGTCTATTTTGTAAGTAAGTTCATTTGTATTATTTTTTGATTCCACATACAAATGTAATTTATAAATTCCGCATATAAATTTGTCTTTCTCTGCCTGACTTACTTCGCTTAGATGGACCTAGAGATTATCATACCATGTTGCTGCAGATGGCATTACTTCATTATTTTTATGGCTGAGTAGTACTCCATTGTGTATATATACCACATCTTTTATCCAGTCATCTGTCAGTGGACATTTAGGTTGCTTCCACGTCTTCTGGCTGTTGTAAATAGTGCTGCTGTGAACACTGGGGTGCATGTACATTTTCAAATTAAGAGTTTCCTCCAGATGTATGTCCAGGAGTGGGAGTGCAGGATCATACAGTAACTATTAGTTTTTTAGCGAATCTCCGTCCTGTTCTCCATCGTGGCTGTGACAGTTTACATCCCCACCAACAGTGTAGGAGGGCTCCCTTTTCTCCATACCCTCGCTAGCATTTATTATTTGTGGACTTTTTGATGATGACCATTCTGACCAGTGTGAAGTGGTACCTCATTGTAGTTCTGCTTTGCATCTGTCTCATAATTAGCAACACTGAACATCTTTTCATGTGCCTGATGGCCATCCATATCAGACTCTGATACTGTGTCTAGTTTTAAACACTGCTAAACAGCAGTAATCAGATGTCTACCTGACAAATTTTCTAGTGCATATCTGTGCATAAAAATACAATTTAATAAATCTTTTAGAAAAGGAGTGCTTGCCCTGAGAGATTGACAAAGATTTCTCAAAGAGGTGATGTCACTTGAGCCAAGTAAGCCCACACAGACTCAGGGCAGGGGGTGGGTAGAAAAGAGAAAGTGAGGCTAGGGGCTAGGCAGGGGCCGGGTCATGAATGGCGGTGCCTAACCATTGTGCAGATGACACAGGGCCACTGAGGACTCGCAAACAGGGTGAGGACTGATCCGTGATGACCAGGGCTGGGGTTTAAAAACGCTCCCCTGATGGCACGAGAGTCTGGACTGAAAGAGTGGAAGTGGGCAGGTGCTTGGGAAGGCGCATCTCAGTCTTGGAGGACTGAGGCTTCAGTGCCTGAAAGCAGCAGGATGCTCAGTCTGCAGACCTAGGGCATCAGTGGTATTCAGACGTGCAAGGTGGCAATCCAAGATGGTCCTTAAAACTATGACAGTAAATGGGGGACCGGGGCCTGCTGACATCCACCACGAGGGGCAGGATTCTCTTCAGAGGGGGGAGGAGAGGCAGGACCTGGGGTGTGAGGTGCGTGGCGGAGGGGAGGGAGGGTAAGGGGGCTGCAGAGCCATCGAAAGCCTGACTGGGGTCGGACCAGAGGCCTTGGTTTGAGTTTAATTTACTAGGAAATTGGGAGCTAACATTTAATTCAGAACAATTTGTTTCCACACAGGGAGTGAGCAAAGCTCCGTAAGAATAGAAACCACAGCGTCAGGACTGCCTGGGAGGTGCTGTAAAAGCAGTGGCGAGGAAACCAGGCCTGTCATCCAGCGGAAATGCCCAGTGAGCCCCTCAGGTGACTTAGAGCTTTCTGGCAACCACGCTAAAAAGGTAAAAAGAAACCGGTGACATTAACTCTAATAAATTTAAATAGTCCAGTGTATCCAAGGTGTTTAGCATCTCAAAACGTGGTACTTGGTCACACTTGGAGTGCTCAGGGGCCCCGTCTGGCGGTCCTGAAGAGGCAGACAGTCCCAGTCGGGAGGGATCACGTGCCCTGTGCCTTCAGGAACGAGGACGAGGAGACGGGCTCCAAGCTTGGGCTGCTGTAACGAGGCCACAGACAAAAGTAAGGACCACAGCTAAGTCAGCATCTGCTGTGCAAGAAGAGACAGTGTCGCTCTTGGGGAAAGGAGGGCTTTTATTTCCATCCTAAATGATGATCACACCGTTACTTAAATACATCTGAAAAGGTCCTGAAGTAACTTAAACTGAAGGCACAGAACAAATCAAAATATTTAACTGAGCTTAAAACGAGAGAATTCAAATATTTCGACAGTAACAATGAATTATGAACAAGTTTCCATCACCAAATATTCTGACCAAAAGCTATAGTCTTTAATAAAAACCAAATTAGCTTAAGCTGATTAAGATTTCCATGATAAAAATGAAAGGTCATCTTTCAAAATCCTCATTATACCACCAGGTTCACTGTAAGCATTGTATTTATAACCAAGCGGTAGTTAGCATATTTGCTGATGGATGGTCACTCCCCAAGAATGATGCATTCTTACAAAATTTTTAAGACAAAAGCAAAGTGGATTGCAAAATTCTATTGGGGAGCAGGAAAAAAAAGTTGTTCATGTCAATTAGATTAACAAAGTATTTCAATATCAAATTGCTTCAAAAGCCAGTCATCATATAACAGTAATGTACTGCACGGGCATTCCACTGTGTCTTGGTTAACTGTTGACCATACAGTGTGGCTCAGGGTTCGAATAAGTCAGTAACGATTATTTTGCCATTTCTTAGTCAAAAGAGATAGGTTTAAAAAAAAAAATCACTGAAAATAACTGGAATAATCTGTAACAAGCTGTAGCTACAGTAAACCCCAGCAATGCAATTGCTGAGTTTTAAAGTGGTCAGGCTTCATGATACACTAGTATTTTGAAATACATTCTCTGATGAACACCACTAATTACAGAGGTCAGTTGAAATTAGCTCAGATTCTGAACTAGGCTTCTAAATGAAACTTTTCAAGTATGCATAATATTAATAAGGTAAAGATTTTTCTCTTATTCACTGTGTTCTTCCAACGGTCAACTGTGATGAATAAAGGGCAAACAAAATAGGCCGGTCAGTTTATTAAAATACTAAAAAAAAAAAAAAAAGAGTCTATTGACCAAGGACTGATGGAAAGATATTAACATCTGAAACTTACTATTCAGGGGGAAAAAAAAACTTTTCAGACTTTTTCCTGAAATTAAGAAATGGGGAAAAACACTCAAGATTCTTTAACAGAATAAAATTTTAAAAAAAGGTCTTTCTTCTGCTTAGCTGTGATATATGAGTGTGTTTAAGCAACATGGTTTTATTTTTATCATTTAATTTAGTTGCATAAATCAAAAACATTCCCAGCCAAGTTTGCTGATAGAAGTATAATACAAACTCTAGAAAACGATTTTTAGCAAAAACTGCTTCAAAATTTTCCTACATAACAAAACATTCCTTTGGAAATGAATCTTTAATGCTTTTGGACTGTTCAAGTAAATGCAGCTTTTATCACCTCCAGTACTAAACTGTAATTACCGCCCAGATTCCTTCGTCACTGGGTAGCATCCTTTATTCTTACTATTCTAATCACGGTACGGTATTTTAAAAATAATCTCTTTAGTGGCCTCAGACTTACGTCTTCATCTATGAGTACTGAGAGATTAAAGTAGAAATAAAATAAGCCAGAAAAATCACCTTATAAACAGTATGAAGTCTTGAAATGTTGGCACCGATGAGCAGTGGGAAAGGCTTACCCGGCCAGAGGACGCGCCCCCCTCCCCGCACAGCAGTGGCTGCGCCAGGCAGCGAGTGCCAGGGCCGCCGTCTTCACTGACAGCCTCCTGGGCGCGCGGAACTCGTTTTATGACTCAGTTATTGCAAACAAAGAACCACGAGTAAGTCATCCATCCAGCTGGCTCACAGTCTGGGCAGGTCACGATCTGACCACGAGAGTCTGGATTCTGAAAGTGGGATCCTGCAAGTGCTATGGAAGACTGTCCCGGAGCTGAGAGAAATGTGGCGACTGGAGGAAGCAGCCAACGAAGGACAAGCCGAGTGGCTCTGGCCCCACGTGAACCAGCTGTGTGAGCGGCCCCTGACTGACAAACGCAACAAAACCGAAGGGTTTTCTTTCTGAATCCTGAACAGGAAGGTGTCTGACTCAAAACCAGCTTCAAAGTCTATACCAGGCTGCCAGGCCAGCAAATAACGGTCAGGGTGACTTTGTTCCTCTGCTCCTTCAACATGGGGACCAGCGCCGAGTGGCTCATGCCCACGGTTGACAGGCCGTTCACGGCCACGATCATGTCGCCACACCTGGACAACGACAGAAGCAGTCACTGTTTTCACGGCATGAAAGACATTATCCTGAGATCTATTTAGCATGAAAACCAGAGTTTCACTTAACCAAACTGTCAGTGAGGAGGACATGTACCTTGCTTTGAGGAACATCTGGGCTGCTTTTTAGGCCTGTGTTGGCTTTCTCCTGCCAATCAAGGACACCCTGTGCCAGCCTCTCCTGGAGCTGCTGGATGATTTCAAGGGCAAGCAGACTAATTTTCATATAAGCTTCAGCAAAACATAGTTAAGATAATAAATCTGCCTCTTTTCTAAAAATACTAAGCAATACATGTGGAGGGGGTTGCTTATTATTTTGACTGTTTGTTTTTACAGCTCTTGACATTCGAGGCTTCACTTAAGTTGAGAATAAGACCCACACCTCCCCCTCTTTCAGCTGCTGTCCTGCAGCCTGATGATCACAAATGGACGATGGATCCGAAGACCTTCTATCATTTACGACTTTGGTCTTTAGTTTGAATACGGACTATTACTGTTAGGTACTTCAACTTCTTTTTGAAAGTAAGTGGAGGTTAATTAGTTTATAATTTGCGTGAGGCCCAGAGGGAGTAATTTAGCTAAGAGAATGGTTAATTCATCCCCCCCAGCCCTTCCCTCCTAGAACAGCGGTCTCCCTTCTCCCTCAGGGTGAGGCTGCCCTGGGGCACACCGACCCAGAGTGGTTTTCCCAGCGTCCCTGAGATGGCGCTGTTCACAGACGCTGTAAACTTTCTATTTGTGCAGCATTCACACTAAGATGTCAGCATGCACTTTTAAAGAGCTGTTTCTTTTATCCAAAACGTAGACATTAAGAACTTAAATCACCCATCTCCTCTGCGTATAACCTCTTGATGTAACACCTCTTTCTTCTCACGGCGCCTAAGCTTTGAAAACGAGGCTGCACCAAGGTTGAGGGAGTACTTTTCGCCTAGTGGTGACAACAGCAGGGACTTGATGGCAAAGCTGGACAGTCCTGGGTCTGAACTGTAGTCAACCACGTCCTGCTGTTCGAGTGTGGGCAAATTTCTTAACCTGTTGAAGCCTCAGTTGTCTTGCTTGTAAAACAAGAATAACCACAGCACCTGCGTCACAGGGCGGCTGAGGAGAGCCCTGGCCCCTGCCTGGCGCACGGGCAGCTACCTCCCCGCCCACTGGTGACCGCATGTGCCAGGCACTGGGATGGCGGCCGGGGGCACAGCCGTCAGCGCAACAGCATCCCTCCGTGTGGACCTGCATAAACGGAACGTTGGGCAGACGTAGACGTTACAGAGAAGTTGTCACCTAGTGACGGGTCGGGCCTGAGCACCCAGAGCAAGCTGCCTGTGGCGCGTCCAGGTGACTCAGGTTGAGCGCCTGGTGTCAGACTAACCGCAAGGCCACCACCACCAGGGCGACGTGGAGCGAGCATCTCAGGCTCCGAGAACCCCCGGCCTCCGTCACGGCCCCTCAGCGCTGTCGCTGTCGTAGCTGAGAAGCAGCCACGGGTAACAAAGAAACGAGTAAACTGCACCGATGGGACCAGACGACAGGCTGGACTGGAGCTGTGCCCGGCCTAGACAAGAAACATGAACGTATCACAAGACTCACTTTAATCTTCCATCATAATAGGCAGGCGTTCCCAGGACAATGGTTTTGATGAAGAAAGGCTGATTGGTGTGGTTCTCTTCGTAGCCGCCGACAATACTGAAGCCCCAGCTTCCCAAGTAGCTTCTTCGTAAAACCACATCGTGGCAGCTACGAAGGGCGCTGTGAACGCAGAAAGCAAGAAAAATGAGCGTGGAGGCTTCTCAGCGCCTGCTCGTCTTGGAGACAACGCCATTCCCCGCTCTACGTGTCACTGAGGGGGTGGTTACGACGTGCTCGGGAAGGGCCCCCCACTTTGACCCGGTTTCCCTGCTGAGAAACGCACGTGCGGTCCCGGCGCGGACCCAGCTCTTCTAAGCGGGAGCCTGGCCACCCCGGCCCACGGCTGGCCCGCTACGTGCCCCGAGTAGGAATGAACAGAATGGTTTTATTGAACAGATGTTTTTTCAGCCTAGTTCTTATTATAAAATTGACCTTTAAAAATAGAATAACCTAAGAAAATTTAACGTGATTTGATTTCCTACTTTTATCTAACTAAAGCCTTTTCCCCTGAATGAGTGACTCTGCCGACCTCCCCCGACAGGGCGTAACCGTGACGACTGCACAGGACGGGGGCGCAGCACCTGGGCAGCCCGAGCCACATGAGCCACGACGGGGACCAGCTGGCGTCGTACTCGTTCTCGCTGACGGTGCTCAGCTGCTCCTCCAGGCCCTGTGCGGCCTCCTCCACGACCTGGACCTCCAGTGCTTTCAGGGCCACTGTGGGGGACGCAGCGCTGGCTTTCAGCATAGCAACAGCCTCACTGTGACTTAAATTGGTCAAATCAATGCCGTTGATATTCAACAAGATGTCACCTGTTCAAATTAAGAAACAAAAATGAGCCCCCAAGTATTTCCCTGCAAATCCTGTTACCTGTAAACTAATCAACAGAAGTGATTTCCAAAAGCTCAGATGAGACAAGGTAAAAGGCCATCTTTCCTTTTTGTGTTTTTTATAATACTGAGGAAAAATGCACTTCATGGAAAACATTCCAAAGACAATTCAAAAATTTAAAATAATTTAACAATATATAGGAAGAGGTGTTGCTTGAGGCTCTGCGACCCCACGGAAGCCGGCGTCACCAGGCCTGGGCTGGCTGTGCACAGTCCTGCCATGTTCATTTCTCCTCTGACAGCGCCTTCCAATTAAAAAACAACTTGATCCTTTGCTCTTAGAAATGAATTTTTAATATGTTCTACTTTATATTTTTACAGTTTTATACATCAAGACGGCTTGGCCTAGTTCACTCAGTGCAAACATCAGAATATGGACAGAAGATACAGTTGGGCCCAGGCAGAGAAATGAAACTTGTGATGTGGACGTGTCCTGCTTGGGGAGGAAAAACAGCGTTAGTTGCTCTGCCAACTAATATAATAAAAAGGGCAAGGAGGATTATAAAAAAGGGCAGGAAGGAAAGGATTAGGTTTATAGAAGCACAAACAATTGTACTAAGAAAGCCCATAGAAAATCCTCCCAATTCATCAGTTATTTTTCAATTATTAAAGCAAAAACATCCTCATTATAGAAAACTAAGAAGGAAATACAGTTACCTCAGATTCCACAATAGGACAAATAACTTAAAAACAAGTACCCTTATTAAGCTAAAATTCATACAGCACTCAGTTAAAGAATAGGATTTTATGGTTTCATAGAGTCGTGCAGCCGTCACGCATTGTCTTCAGAACATTCTGGCCCCCCCCTGCACCGGTTAGTAATCGGCGCCCTTTTCCCAGCCCGACGCAACCACTAATCCACCGGCTCCACAGACCTGCCTGCTCTGGCATTTCAGGTGATGAAGTCACACGTGGACTTCCATGTCTGACTGTGCTTCACTCAGCACAGGGTCTCCAAGGTTCGCCCGCACTGTGGGATGTGTCAACATCTCAAATTCCTTTTTACGGCAGGTAGGCCACTGTGTGGACAAACCATGTTCTGCTGACCCACTCATCAGTTAATGGACATCTAGGATGTTTCAGCTTTTCAGCTGTTAGAAAACTGAGTAGAATTTGGGAGAAGATGTGGTGAATCCGTTCAAGATGTAGCTCACCTCTCTTGATTCTGCCGTCCCGTGCGAGGCAGCCATGAGGGGGCACGCTGGTCACGAAGATGGGTAGCTCCCCACTCTTACTCCCGCGGCCCCCCGCTACTGTCATGCCAAGCGACTCGTGAGGTTCCTTCTTTACAGTGATGTGTTTTTCTTGGCATGTAACACACTGGGCAAGATCCTAAACAAGAGAGGAAAGATTTACTGGATAATGAGTAATATATATAGTTGAAGTAAAGACAGCTTAAACTAAAATAGAAACTTATGTAGCAGAATTTATAGTCATTTAAAAATAGTCAATTAAAAATCATTTAAGAACTGAAAGCAGTACAGAGTTCTTCATAGGTACAACTGATACAGTGAACAAAACACTGGATCCCAATGTCAAACTTTGGACCTCTGTTTCTTCACATGGCTATTTATGGAACTGAAAAACTCAGGACTGTTGACATATGGAAGTCAAAGTAAGTAAGCACATCATTTGCATAATTACCTTGAGCTCCAAGGTATGACTGATTATAAAAAAAAGCAAATAATGCACGTGAATTTTAAGATTCTGAAGACAAGCCAATTTTACTCCCATTTTTCTCATCTTTATAAGCTGACAGACTAGTATATAAAACTGGATTTTACTAACTGCCAGAAAAAGCTACAGACTTATCTTCTGATTCTTACACATATCTCAAATTACTGCAGAATTCAATGACATAAAAGATTCAATAATCAGTTTTTGCCTGTGTGTGTGTATATATCCCTAAAGAATTGCTGTATAATTTGTAAAGCAAGGACAAGCTATATGAAACAACTCCTATTTGAAATTTCTATTCAAAACAATAACTCCTTTTCATGGTCCTCATTATGGAGGCAAAATTATAGGTTTCCTTCATACATTTCAGTTTCGGTTCAGAAATGAGAACAAGTCTGTGGTTACAATTTCTTACTAGTATTAACTAAACCAAAGACCAGTGACAAGTCTGTACTTGAGCTCAGAAAACTAGATAAACCTAATGGGCCAGAAACAGTTGTGCCTGTAAGGGATGCTTTCTTAGGATACCTGTGACATTCCAAAGGTAATTATTCTCTCAAACACTGTACTTACATTAAGAAGTCACTTCAGCACACAGGGAACTAACTGTGGCTTTAAGGAGACCAACGGATAAATTTTTGTTTAGTAAAGCAATTTAACTTCACTTAAGGAGAGGTGAATTTGGAAACTCAGTTTAGCTTGTATTTTCACATAGTTGAGTAAACACCATCGTTTACTCAACGTTTACTCAAAAAACTCCTGGCCTACCAGAAATTGAGTTCCAATGAAGGACAAAATGAAGTAAATAATATCAAAAATGCAGTAAAGTACCACCCTTTTAAAATTTCTACAACTAAAGTGAGACAGTATCAAAATTCTCAACACAGATAAAGCACCTGGTATGTATTATAAAACCAGTGAAATACTGAAGCGTGGAAAAAGCTCACCATGTGGGAACTGTCACTGATTTAGGGTGGGCTTCCTGTCTATACCAAGAAATATGCTATACAGATACAGCTGTCGAATTTATGATTTATGTTTAATATTCATGTATGTAATTCTGTTGTAGGCAAGCTGCCCAGTTGCTAAGTACAGACTGTCAATCGTTGTCTTCATTCTGCTTTTTCAATTATATAACCAACTGTTGCATTTAAATGAGCAACCCAAGATAAACCCCACTTGCAAGCAGAACTAGACAAACCAAAGATTTTTCTGGATGATCAAATACTTCGCGACAATCGCCTGGCAGAGAAACTCTACTGGCTGAGGAACTGAAACAATGCAGTCACTCTCCAAGGTGGCAAAACACACACACTTCACATCCCAAACACCGACGGTCACCTCCTCCAACAGAGTAACAGCCCTCACTGAAAGCTTACCTGCTTGTAAGGTCATCCCTGGAGGGTGAATTAACAACCACAAAGTGCCTCACCTTGTGTGAGCTGGGCCTGCTGTGGCCCGGCAGCTGTGCGTGGTGCTGGCTGCTGCTCTGCGTTCCTGCTTCTCGGACAGTGTGTCCCGGCTGGGGCTTCCCCGTTCTAGCAATGGTTAAATTCACCCTCTCTCCACTAGCCTGGACAAAACACACACACGGCCACCAGTCATTAGCGATGCTTCCCGCGTAACCAAGTACAGGCAGTGGGATTTTTACCGCACTTCTCACCCCACCTCGTCACTGCCCCACTGCCTCGCCTGGTGGTGCCTGCAAGCACCTGGAGACAGGAGAGGGGGCGCTCCTCCGTGACCCAGTATTTTAAAACTTCTGCAGCTGAAACGCACATGCGCAGCTCTGGGACGAACCCTCCCCGAGCCCACCTCCAAAGTAACCAAGGCAAAGCGGTCAAACTGACCGTGTTCTGCCCCATGATTTAAAAAATTATATATATTTATTTGGGGGGGGGTAATTAGGTTTATTTATTTTTTTAATGGAGGTACTGGGGACTGAACCCAGGCCCTCGTGCAGGCTAAGCACACACTCTACCCTCCCCTGCCCCCATGATTTCCTGAAGGGTAGCTTCCTTTTAATGCTTCTTTTCCCTTTCAAGATTGGCCTTGGCGTTGTGAGGGAGAGAGCAAAGGAAAGAATATAAAAGGAAGAACTGATTCAAAACTTGATTAAAATCCATTGCAACTTGAAAAATAAATTCCATGGTGGCTACTTTGGAAGTAATCATCAGTGAAACTGCACAGCTTCATTTGTTTGCTATGAAGTCTGAGTCAAAAATAGGACATCAGCTTAAATAGTCCTGGGAAGAATGGTACCAGATCTGTACTTGTATGTTACCTATATACAGTACACACACACCTGTAAATGTTAAGTTAAATTATCTTAGAGGTTCATGACTATCACTGTAAATTTGGAGGCCCATTATCTCTATATATGTATATTTTAACACAGATTCACATCTATTATATTTTAAAAAGTTATTTTATCTTTGCTTTTAAAGTACAGGCCTGATTTATTTGATGATGATTCTTGGTCAGGACCACAATTCCCAATTTCATTATCACTCCTATGGGAAATTATGATAGTCTGCTTTCAAGGAGTTGTGGTGGAATGCTACATGTGGAGGGGACCTCCCCCATGATTATACTGAGTAATGTTAAGAAATCACTATTTTCGGTTTTTCCCCCAGTCTTATTGAGATATAACTGACATACAGCACTGTATTATTTTTCGTCCTTAAATTGGACAATAAGTGATAATTTTTATGCCCAACTAAAAAAACATTTGCTTATTCAAGCATTTTACTCAACTTAAGAGCTTCAACCAAGTTCCTCAAAATAAGTCAAAGAAAAATACTCAACATATGGCCAGATTCCTGAAGCACAGAGTCTGGGTACCTGATCTGAGGGGTAAATACAAAAGTGGAATGTTTAGAATCCTGATACTTAAAATTCTGACCCTTCACATCATTAGACTGCACGGCGTGAAGCGGAGACAGGCTCCGCTTGTGACTTTATTTCCAAGTACAGAATTACTTTCATTACTGCTTACTCCTTGGAACCACTAAATACTCCAGTTAGTATTTTGGTGATACTGGAAAACCCCTAGTTATGCAAACCTATTAACAGAAACAAATCCTTGATCTTTCTAGATTTTCTGAAAGACAAAATTCTGTGCATAGGATGGAAGGGGGCATTTAGGATTTAAATGATGGACCAAAGTTTGGGTGCAGGCTGACCTTAAACAGAATGCACAATCTAACATGTCAGAGTTTCAAACACAGTGAAAAAAAGTTGTTAAAGTCAAGATTTTTAAAAATGCAAGCTGTCCACACAATAATACCCTTAATTCATGAGTAAGTGGTGCGTGCTGCGGCTGGAAGGATAAACTGGTATGATCTGATCCTTTTGGAAGGAAGTTCAGCAAAATGTCTTACAATGAAACAATATGGGAGTCTGTCAGCAGGAGGTGACTGAGTGGATTACAGCACAGCACGCCTCCTGCGCAGCCAGGGAAGGCCACGATGAGGGTCTGCACGTACTTTCACAGCAGGAACGTGCTGCTGACACAGAGCTGCAGACTCAGAATTTACAGTACGAGTGCCTGTGTTACTGCCGTGTGAATATGTACCTACTTATCTGTGGACGTACACATCAAGTTTGTAACAGTGTTCTCCAAACATCAATAGCCTGGAGTGTTTAGATTCAATGTGATTTTAACTTCTTTATTCTGGTGTTTTATCTTCAGTATGCTCCATTTTAGATACGGAGTACATGTTATTTTTATAATCCCCAAACAGTAAGGCTGTTAATTCTTTTTCAAAAAATACTTAAAAATGAGCAACTTCAGTTTTCTATAGTTTGGGGGGAAATTACAGCACAAAATATGATGCAGCTATTTAACTCTCTGGATTATAAAAATCCAAATAAAATACTCTATCATGAAAAAATTTTAATGTTTTCTACCTGTGTATCCGTATTTTCCACATTTTGGTTAGAGATTTAGTGTGGACCGTCTATTTAGGAATTAGTACTTTAACACTGCGTGACATATAGTCAATCTGTGTCTCTCCTCCTGTCTTACTGACCTGACTTCTCACTTTACAAAGTCCATTCAGCTCTCCTGTTTAACAAACCCCCAAACTGGGTTAACTTTCTTCTTCTCTTCCTCCCCCCAGTCCCCACTCTTACAAGGTAAACTTACTTCCAGCAGTGCAGCAGCTGGCAGGACCCACAGGAAAAGCTCCTGGTGCCCCACACGCTGCCTCTGATTTGAGGGACTTAAAAGGCACTCAGTTTCTTTAAACCTCAAGTCTATGAAATGAGACCAATTCCTGAACCTCCTTTTCAATGTGGTATGCAGTGAGCCTGTGTGTGTGTGTGTGTGTATGTGATGTGAGTGGGTGCATATGTGTGTACATGTGAGTTTGTGTATGTGTGAACATGGGAATGTGTTTTCCTAAGGCTATATTGAACCAAAATGTGAAAAAAAAAAAAGGTTAAAGGGGAGGGAGACTTGGGTTTTCTTTCAGTGCTAAATTTGTTACTTGACTGTGTATATGTGCACTTTTAGTGACTGTCAACCTACCTGAATTTCCACTGTTCAGTGATAGTATCACTTGATTTCCTCTGTAGTGCTGTGCTTTAAAAACCCACGTGTGGCGTCACCCTCCACCCACGTTACCTGCCAGGCATGTGGCAGGACCTGAAGATCTTCTTGGGATGATGCTCTGAATTATCTGTTTTGATGTTCTTATTAAAAACATGTTTTATTCTCCAGTGATGACTAACCTTACCTATGAGATACCGTGAGGACAATGTTACGTGTCTGAAGTGCTCTGAATTTCTTCAAAAAAAAAAAAAGGCACTATAGAGAGTTATTCTGAACAAAAGTGATTTCCCCGCTATTTTTATGGATCATGAAGTGGAGGAGTGAGACTAGGTGAGCCACAACCTCAGGGGCCACAGCCCTTGGGGCCTCATTCTTACTCGTTGGGTGTGGACACCAGCACTTGTCACATCTGGCACCGGGTGGAGTGGAACGAGCAAACAGGGAACTGCCCGAGAAACTGCGGAGCCTTAACCTTGGAAACAGGCAGCTTACAAGTCCACGGGCGCGGGGACTTCAGAGCAGAGTCCTCTGTGATGAACTGAGGCAGCCAGGCTTGACTCCACAATGGAACATTGTATCGCCTGGATTCCCACGTTATCTCCTAACGACCAACCAACCGTCGGAGGTGAGTGGTGACGGGCCGGGGGGGGGGGGGTGAAGGGTGGGGTGGTCCGAGGCGCACGGGGGGCTCACCTGGATGACCTGTGCGGCCAGCTCGGGCGTCCCGTGCTTCAGGTCGTGGCCGTTGATGGCCAGCACCCGGTCGTTGCTGCTGAGCCGCCCGTCCTGGGCTGCCAGCCCGCCCTCCAGCAGGTCAAGGATGAAGACGCCCGGCTCGTCGGTCCTGCGCACGAGCTTAATGCCCAGCTGCTCCGCGGAGTCGCGCTTGTGAAGCACCACCTGGAAGACCTCCTCCCGGGGCGCGCCGTCGGGGTGGCCGTGCGCGCGGCCGAAGCGGCGTCCCGCAGCACCGTCAGCTGCAGCGTGCTGCAGGGCTGCGACAGCACTGCCCGCGCGTAGTTGTGCGACACGCTGCTGATGTTGTAGCTGTTGACCTGGCAGCGGAGTGGAGGACAAGGCGGGACAGTCTTACTTTCCCAACTTGCAAGGATGTTTATATAACATTTCCAGAGGAAACTAACATTGTGAAACTGACAATCATTACTTACAAAGAAAAGCACTCCAAAGACATTTTAAAATAGAATTCCTAAAATTAACTCAGAATGACTAGCATCAGGCAGAGAATAGTAGTTAAGGCTTTCATAATAGTCTTGAATTAGGGCCCTTGGTTCTAGCACGTACTAACTGGATCACCTCTAGCAAATTATAGACCTTGTCTGGGTGTTTCCTCATCTGTGAAATGTGTTTACTCTCTACTTCACAGGGTCAGGATGAGCACGAATAAAAAGACATCAGATATGGCAACTGCTAAAGAAAAGTCTAGATCTCGTGGAACAGAAAATGAAGTTATACTGGATGACAAATTTGCTTTTCCAAATGAAATACACCTACACTACAGAAAATAAACTGAGTTAGATTTTAAAGAAAGTGGCACATCACAAATACATAACCTCATTTTAGATGAGTGATGTTTACTTTAAGGAAAAGCAGATAGTTATAATTTCACCCTGATTCTTTGGCACACAAGTGTAACAGCTAATATAGTAAGCATTAATTTAATACATAATACTTTCTAAGCTTTATAACCCTGAAGTCAGCCCTGTGACTGGTCCTTGGGCATGTAACAGCACCACGACACACCCAGCTGCGGATGTTTACCAACTTAGAGAAGAGGTCAGCACAACCCCCAGTATGTATCACAGTCAGAGTTCCTCCCCGTCTGTCTGAGATGAGACTGATGGGAAACCAGCGCGCCGCACACCAGTCATGTGATAGGCTCTGGGTTAGGGGTGTGTGCTCACCTAAAATCCTTACTTCTTTTTTCACATGAATGTACGTGAAGCGAGCCCTCCCCTTTTGTAGTTATCCAGGGTTGATAGTTTTGAACACTAATAACTTGAATTTTGTTCATTTTAGCCTGTTGACATCTTTAAAAATTCAGTCATCAAAGTCACAGATGTCATACTCTAACCTACTGTTCTCCCAAGTCTGCTATATCTGTGCCTTTGGTGGCCATGCAAGCCCTTGATAAAAACACTGAGTAATACAGGGTCAAGAACAGAATTAGGTGGTTTCTAAAACTGGTCTGACATGAATCCATTAATCAGAAATCATCGTTTATGGCTATTTAGCTAAAAAGCTACCTATCTCCAGGTTCACATTTTCCTTCCTCTATTCAGATACACCACAAATGACTTTATGAAATGTCTGGCTGAAATCCAGAAGCCATGTGCAAACATGTAGCCTCATTATTATCCTTGTGAAGTAGGTGTGGAATAGCCCACAATTGGAAGGTTTTCCTTCATGAATGTGTGGTTGCTGGCGAAACGCAGAGAAAGCAGAGACCAAATAAAACACTGTCTCTAGGTCCTGCACCAACAGCACAGCAGAGTAACCTCTGCCTTTGGCTGATGTGTTTTGTACCAGTGCAGTCAGCACATGGCTGTGATGATTTTCCTTCAGAACTGACCATACTGCCGTCACTGATGAGGGGTCAAACTGGTAACACCCGTTCTTAATAATGCTCTGAACAGTGACATGGATGTAGTTTTAACAGTATTTTTTTTCTTCAAACTGGTCAAAAGGCTGCATCACACAAGGCCCTGAAGGTATGTGGTTCTCCTCTTCAAAGAGACTATTTAATAGAGTAACGGGTGTGTGTGTTTGATGTGGGAAAACCAAAGCCACACCCTGTTACTGAATATAGTTTGCTAAAATAAAAGCAAAGGCTTTCTAGCTCTTTGGCCTTATAAAGAAATTATCTTAATGACTCTTGAGTATTTTCAGATTGGCTTACTGTATTATTTATGTAGCTTATAAAGTTGGAGATAACCAGGTAGTAAAAAGTTCCAAAGAGCCGTCTTTTCAAAAGTATTTTCTTTTGAATGACTGTAAATACTTGACATTTGGGCGAGGGGTGTGGCTTTACTTACTGGCTCCAGCGAACCAGTCTGAGGCCGACAGAGTCAGGGCTCACAGGAGGAGAGAGCCTTTTGAATTCATTAATCAGGTCATGTGTTCATCCTTTTCTTATCAATTTGAATATTACACTGGATTTAAGCTCACCATTACTAGAGTTATTAATATGTATGCCTCCATAAACAGTGACGGTGCACTGGACTCTCTACAGTGTAAATTTACAGCTTTGAGTTAATTCCCAAAATAGTCAACACTGTGAGGTAACTACAGTTCTGAGTTATAAAGATTCAGTTATGTGACCAAACAATCCTCCAAAATAGAAGAGTAAAAAGTCTACTCAGCAAACAAAGCCTGAAAAACTATTTAATTTCAATCGTATTCAAAGAAATGCAAATAAAAATAAAGCATTTGTTTTTACCTTTGAAATTCAGGGAAAAAATGAGAAATGATAAAAATGTTAATACTCAATGCTAGCACATCACTGGTATAAAAAACAAAACACAAAACTGAATTGTACACTAAATTACTAGGAAGGCTGGAGGTGGGAGAAAATGGGAGAGAAAAGAATACTCTGCGAGCTGCAGACTCGGCAACCCAGCTCTCCTGGTCTGCACCACGCAGGTGGCGAAAGGTCAGGGGAGCCAGCAGAATCAGATTAGGAGCTGGGAGTCAGGAGCACAGGTAAGGTGTGCTGGCCACGTGCAGCTGGAGTACTAATGCCATAAAATGACAGCAAATACAGTCACACGGTAAATGGCTTTTACTAGAAAACACAGGGCGTGGCTGTCAGTGGTGGGTCAGGAAGCTGACTGCACGTAGGCAGGATGGGTTATGCTTCCTGTACCCCAGGTTTCTTCCTAGTATTTAGTAAAAAAACCAAAAAACCAAAAAACACACTGCTTGAAAGGTGTATCAGCTTTGCTAAGGACAGTGAAGGAAGTGCTTGGGGCCCGCGTGTCAAGTGGAAATAACACACCCTGAGGGGCAGCATACCAGTGGGAGCGGGAAAACTAGAGGTTCCAAGTTTTGTTTTAATAAAGGAGATGGCTACTCCTGACAGGATGTAATACCCAAATCCACTCTTTCACTGATTCAGCAAGTATTTCCTGTGCGTATCACATGCACAGCACTGGGGGAAATCTGTGTCACAGTCGGTACATCAGGGAGGCTGCCGTCGTCATGGAAAGACAGTACCTGTAAATAGTGGACTGTGCTACGTGCCAGGTGATGGGGAGTAAAGCAATGAATGCCGTCAGCGATCAGAGTAAGGAGAGGTCAGAATGGGTGAGAAGGGCTGAGCAAAGCGGTAAGGATGAAGGTGGACAAACGGCAGCATGACGGGACGGGCTGGGAAGCAGAGAGAAGGTGGAAGCAGGAAGATCGCTATGTCTGGCTTTCCCAGCAGATTACAGATTCCATGAGGACAAGGGGACACTTTGCTCTTAGCTGTATCCTCGGTGCCTAGAACATTGTAAGAATAAGGAGCTGCTGGGCCTTAAGCAAAAAGAAAGGCTTAAGATGATGACAGGCTGTGTAAGACGCCATGCAGGCCTTGAGTACGAATCAATCTGGACGTGATGCTCTAGTCAGATGTTAATGCTCAGTGACGCTCCCCAAGGAAAGCAGAGCTACAGACACTGGCAGTGATCATGTTGGATTTCAGGGCAGAGAGCTGGATGGCAGGGATATTGTCCGTTTCTACTGAATCAGATATGAGTAGTGCAGGCCTGGAATGACGAGGGAGACGAGAAAATAGATATACGGGGCAGGTGTCAACAGGTCATGCCGAGGATCAGATAACAAAATCGAGAATCGAGGAGGGACGAGTCCTGGAGCTTGGGTTCCTGGAAGAGAATTTTTCTTGCTTATGAATATGTTTTCTCTCTCCTTCTGGAAGTTACCATCTCCTTCTGAAAGCTACCATGTCTTTTAGCTTCAACTATCACCTACACTTGTGTGACTCAAACATCCAGGCCAGTGTCTAGAGAACTCCAGTCCTGTACAGAATTCTTACCCCACTTCCCCTCCGTCTCAACATGCCCTCTAACAAAACATCACCTTGTCCCAAGCTAGCTCTTTTCTGGGAATAGCTATTTCTTCTGAAAGGGGAAGGAAGGTGAGGGTAGTACCAAGTGTTGATGAGTGGTGCGCATTATTAGGGGGTCAACAAGAGACAAGTATCATGTCTGAATTCTACCTTAAACTCCATGGTATTAATCACAAGTAACTGGTGCTACATGGTCTGTCTTTCCCAGATTTTAGTAATCAGTAGAGAATGATAAATTAGACAATGAAGGTAATGGATGGATGAGAAAAGTGAACTTGGGAGAAGAGGATTTCAGCATGGGTGAGGTGGCCCTGAACTAGCTAGCCCTGGACACCAGGCCAGGAAGGGCCCAGCTGGCCTGGAGAGTCCAGGCCCCATAAGCGGAGTCACATGTAGGATTGAAAGTTAAGGCAGGGAAAAAAAATACATTCCATGTACATGGGGAAATAAGAGAAATTACAAATAAATTCTGATCTGCTTTGCATATAAAGACAGTAAAACTAACCTATATACAATTCAAGTTCCACAGTACAATTCTGCTTTAGACTTACAAATAGGAACAAAGAGCACAAGGTAACAGAATAATTAAAGCTGATACCTGGAGAATCTGGTCTCCGGCAAGGAGTCTTCCATCTCTGGCAATAACCCCGTCCCGATAGACTTCCTGGATGACAATGTTAATCAGTGGTGTTTCGTTGCCACCCACAATGCTAATTCCTAGCTGAATGTAAGGATTAGACCGGTGAATTTCAATTGTGGTGATTTCGCCTTCTGGTAAACTGAGTGGCTGTTGTGTGGCTGCCGAGTCAAAAATGAGAAAGAAAAATAGATGGAAAGAAAAAACAACATTTGATGTTTTGATTATTTTCAGAAAAATAAATCATCGTATATTAGCAGATGATTAAAAACTATGCAATACCCTCGGATAAGAAAAACAGAATGACAAAAAAAACCTGTATGTTAAGATCATCTAAACATTTCTTCTCCCAAAGGTGATCAGTAAATAATCACTAGCTACAGCGTGTCAAATCACAAGGTCAGATCACGAGGGATGACAGTGACCTGATGAAGAACTATTAAGAGAATGTCATCCTGTCCTAACTGGTAAGAGGTCTGGGCCGTGGAAGAAGGTAAGTAACGCGAGGCAGCGTAGAGAAACGACTCTGTGGTGTGTAATCACCATGGGGGTGAGCAAAGTCACGGCAGGTTCTAAGGAAAGGTGGGTCTTGACTTGAGCCTTAGGAGATGGGAAAAGATTACGGTGGTGGCAGGGAAACTCTGACTTTGTAGTAAAATTTGAAATTTGTTCAGAAAAATTATATTTAAAAGTAAACCTGGGGCCAACCATCAAGACGCCCAAGATCCATGACTACAGCTTTCTGTTCATTCCCAGTGAGTTGTCCAGCCAGGCTAGTGGCGGCCACCAGAGCAGGGCACTAGTCAGATACACATCCAGATGTTCCCCGGTTGCATGAGCTTGACCTGTTAACCTCCCGAGACTCGGCTCTCTCCCGGCTGCAAACACCCTCACAGCACTGTTGGGGCGTGTCGTCAGCTGAGGCACGTAAAGCGCCTGGCGCCGTGCTGGGCACGCTCTGAATGTGGGTATCAGTTTTGTTGCTCTGGATGTTGATGTGTTCTTAGTCAAGAAGCAACACGCCTCTGAACCCTCGAACACCAAGCAGCAGGTTAACGACCAGTGAATTCACAGACTGAACAGAAGAGGGACGGAGAAGGATCCCCTTCCTCAGGGGTCGGTTTTGTGTTTGTTTCTAAAATGCAGACTGTTAGAACTGTACCTGTGAAAGGGTGAATTATGTGGTGTGTCAATTATATCTCAAAATTAAGTTTTTAAAGGGGAATAGAATGCACGTTGGGAGAGGAGGGAGGAAGGGAACACCCGCTCTGAATACGGAGGAGGACAGGAGGACAGGAGGACGAGGTGGCGGCACGTACTGTCGGCGGCGCTCTCCTCAAAGGCGGGGTTGTCCAGGCCGGGCTCCTCGGTCCAGGCGGGAAGGGACGCTGAGGTCAGGGACCGCTCGGCGGGCACCGTGCCCATCCCTGAACAGTCCATTTCAGGGGATAAAGTACCTGGAGGCTCTATTACAGGAGTTCCACTTTCATTCTCAGTCTCTGTCTGAGTTTTACTAGTTTTCCTTCTCTCTAGGGCAGCTCTCTGGTGGGAAGCTCCAGGGCATCTATAAAGAGCATCAGGTGGTTTCCAGATGATTTGAAAGGAAAAAAAAATGTGATTAATGTTTCCACCACAAGACAGACAGCAACGGCTTCCATGCCAGAAGCACCAAGAAGTGCCCACAGGCAGTACATCATTCTGGCCTCAAATTCCACTCAAACTAAGTTCTCACCACTCCACAGAGCAAATTTAAAATGGTTTGGTATGTATCTCAAAGAATACTTCAGTAAGAAACCATATTCAGGAATATGTTAGTAGCAGAAATACATACACCAGTACAGTATGCCAGTACAGCTGTCTCTACACTGAGAATGATCCTGAAACTCTCATTATAAACCCCTTTTCACAGGCTGAGAGGCTGAAGCCCGGGCGTGGAGAGCAGCAGCCTCCCGCACACACAGCCCCGCGTCCGGCCCTGGGCGCCGCTCACAGCTGAGGCCACACACCCACCCGGCGGGGGCAGGAAGACACCTGGAGCTCTGCCACTTGCAGGAAAGCACAGCAAAGGCCCAAATAACTTACTTTATGACAGACATGGAAGGAGATGAAAACATAATCTCCTAGTTTGTAAAATCAGAATTGCAATAGTGAAATTACAGATATGCTGTGAAACCTGAAGAACCTATTTCTAAGTATCTGGGAAACTTAGATAAGCACCAAGAAATAAGAACCACTTACTTGCTTGTTTTTATTTATTTAGACTAACAAAAGGGACAGATACATGCTTGTTTAAACATTTAAAGAGAGTCCTCCTGTGACAGATGTTAGAAACGCTATAATGTGCCAGTTTTTTTTTCCACCTGACACCTTGACTGGACAAAGTGACTAATAACGCCCAGACTGAGGAGTGGGGGCGGGAGTCGGGGATTCGTGACGGAGGGGCAGGCACATGTTCCAGAGCCCGACACGACTCTCCAAGACAGCTCCTGCTCTCCTGCCGGGGCAAGAACAGGCAGAAAGCGCGGGTCGGGTGGGCGACAGTCTTGTGTCTAGGGTTGCAGACCTTCACTCAATGACAGTTTTCTTAAAAATCTAAAATTTCAATCAAAATTAAGTATAGAATTACATTCAATTACAATTAAAAGCTACTCATTAACTATAAGTGTAGTAAGTCTTTAGTTCACGAGGAAATTTTATTTTAGGTCCTGGATTTTAAGTTCTTGAAAAGGCTCATCATGAAATGTCTTTATGCATCGTTCTCTCCTGACCTGTCCTCTCTTCACCTGGCTACGAAGGGGCACAAGTGACGTTCCCCTCTGCACTGCGGTGCTGCACTCCAGGCAATGTGTCTGCAAGGGCCTGGCAAATATTTTTGGTAATTCTGTCACTGAAAAAAGTTATTTTTTGTCAAGTGAGCATATTTAATTAGAAATATTTTTCAAAAAATATTTTGTTCAATAAAAAAGTTGATATAAAAACTGAATCATAAAAAATACTTAGGACTAAGAAGATAGGTAAAGGTTTAATTCTCAAAATATATATCACAAATATCTCCATGGGTAACAGCTGGTCTTTAATGGAAAAAAAGGACTAAGAATAGCAATTGAAGAGGAAATACAAACAATATGAACACTGGGAATTAGTCTAGTTAATGACTAAAAAAAACCTACAAACTAAATAACCATAAACGCTATCTTATAGTTACTAAACATGGAAAAATAAATTCAAAAAGTAAAACTTGAAGTTGCTAGAGAAGTGAAGAAATAGGTATACTTAAGTTCCCAACAGGATAGTAAATTAGTAACAAGAACTGAAGATATTAAAAATGACATCATGTGAAAATACGGAAGCATGAGCCTACCTAGTGTTAGAGGAAGGTTACAGAAAGCACCTCCGGGAACACCCATATTTAAACATGAGACCAGCTGAGCAGACTGAGACAGAACAACTAGACGTGAGTTCAACGAAGAAAAAGTGGCCAGTGGTGCAAATGCCAGAAAGGGAGCAAGTAAGATAAGGGCCAAAGCACTGGCCTGATTTGGAAATTAGAAGGTCATGGTGACCTTAGAAAGAACACTTTTGGTGATAAGTGCAAAATTCCAGACTAGAATTTGAGGAGTTGTTAACAAAATACACGCACTCTACAAAAACTGCATGTAAAACTTACAGGGCTTGAGGGAAAAAGAGGACTGGGCCAGATCATTCAAAACCTGTGCATCTGGGAACGGGCAGTGGCTGATGGTGGGTACAGGGCTTCTTTCTGGGGCACTGAAATGTTCTAAAAATTAGACTGTGATGATGGTTGCACAATTCTGTGACTATACTAAAAACTGTTGAATTGCATACTTTAAAAATAAGTGAAGTTTATGGTAGGTGAAATATATCTGAATAAAACTATTAAAAAAAAAAGATGATTAAGGAATGAGTAGATCAGAGCAGGCTTTGACAGCTCAGAGCCATCAGCCCTGAAGTTTGTAAACACTTGGAACTGAAGAGAAAGGAAAAAACCAGCATTTGCTGGGTGTCTAATTTGTGCCAGTCACTGTGCAGACTTTAAGAACAGTATTTAATTGACTCTTTACAACCCCTCTATTTCCCCATTTTACAAATGGGAAACTTGAAACAATTAACTAAGCCAACATCACATAGCTATTAAATTACATGAAATCCACACGAACTCAGATCTGATTTCAAAGATGCCTGCTCTTTACACGGCACTATGCTAAATACTCTTCTGGAGTTCTTTTTCTAGGCCTTAGGAAAACATACATTAATTTCGTTCTACAAACTTGTACCTAGAAACACAATCATAGAATGTTACAGTGAGAAAGGCCTTGGTGATCATAAAAACCAAGCAAAAATCACAGATAACAAAAACCTACACATCTTTTTAAACGGAACATTTAATGATAATAACACAAACAGCAAATGGCATCAAGGGCTGTAACTTGGCTTATTTAAGCAGGTAGCTCAGTGGAGCAGGAGGCTAGTATAGAGGATATTACACGTGATTAAAACAGCAGAGAGGAAGTGCATGCAGCGCTTAATGAGACCAGCGTAGGCATGTGCTCAGACAGTGCAGGTGGGAGTGGAGCTCTGACACTGTGGGCTGCCCTGAAAAAGGGCACTGGAGGCAGGGTGAACGGACACAGGCTGAGGGCTGCACCTCCCTTGGGAAGGTTCTTTACATGCAGGTGTGTTTTTAACTTTCTTAAAGCCAAAAAACCTCTTGTAGTAACCAAAGCCAAACTGAGGGATTTTCCGTTCCTGCTGAAGGTTATACTCTCATGCCACTATTCTGGCTCTCCTTATGGAGAAAAATTACATATGAACCAATTTGACTTACAACACGGTGGCATCATTCCCTGCTATAACAGTGACTCACATTAGGACGCATACAGTGTAACAGAACACACTACATTATTAGTAGTAGTGGTGGTGGTGGTGGCAGTAGCAGTAGACGTAAAATAAAACGATGCCTGGTAAGTGCCAGCACAATGCCAGGAACTTAATGAAACTCAAACAGAAGCATCTTAGAACCAAGCAAAATGATAACAGTTACAGATTATAATATGCAAAAATGAATTTAAGTGACGTCAGTGAAAATGTTAGATTAAGGGTAGCTAAAAACCTCTCCTCCATAAAGCAATGTGAACATTGGCAAAAATGGTCAGAACCAACTATTTCTGAGGTCTGAAATTAGCCAAAGTTCGGCAGCAATCCGGAGTGCATTTATTCAAGAAGAACAGCTGAATCTCGGTGAGAACAGTGAGCTCTGCAGCATCTGAACCTGCCCTATTCCTATCCCCACCTCTCCAGCAGCCTGGAAAAGCAATGGCCCCAGTCATGGTGGAAACAGGAGTCTGGCAGCCACTGGAGGGGCAGACTGGGTCACCTTCAGAGCCCCATTTGTAGACAGTTGTCATGAACTGACCTGCTGGTTCTCTGGAAGACCTCACTCGCAAGGCTGTCGTTATCTGCTTTATCTGACCTGACTTGGGGCTCACTCAGGGCAAACAACCTTTTCACTGAAGGCATCCGCTGGGGCATTAAAAAAAAAAAAAGCCAGTTGTATATAAGATTGTGGCTGCTTGAGGTAGACAAACAAAAAGTCTCAAAGGAAAAGCTAGGGAATGAAAGGTCCACAGGGATTCCCATATGTCCAGGGCTTTTGCATGCACAGGAAGGAACTGAGAAGGCCCTAAACTCTCACCTCCTACATAAATGAAGCTACAGGAAAGCAGGAAGTGAAGGGTGAGGAGGACTGTCAACTGGTTAAGTGCTGAAGATGTGCCCCACCAAGTACATGGAGCCCCTGGGCAAGACCAGGAGACTTACTCATTACAGGCATTTAAGGAATTCTCTGTCCAATCATTGGCCGATTAGAACATCACCAACCATCAAATGATAACAATAAACAGCAGTGACAAATCCCGAAGAGAAAGAAAAACCTGATTTCCAGAGTTGTCAATTATTTAAAGTGTCCAATGTTCAATACATAATTAAGAGACATGCAAAGAAAGAAGTACGTGTGGCCTATACATGGGGGAAAAAAAGAAGTTAAGAGAAACTCCCTGAGAAAGCCGAGATGTTGGCCTGACCAGACAATAAATTAAACTGGGTATTAAAAATGTGTTCAAAGAGAAAGAGAAACCACTCTTTAGTCTAAAGAACTAAAGGAAAATATGAGAATGATATCTCACCCAATAAAAATACCAATAGAGAAATGTTACATTAGAGAACCAAATAAATATTCTGAATTTTAGAAGTATAATAAAAGAAATGAAGAATTCATAGCAGATTTGAACAGCTAAAAAAAGAATCAATGAATTTGAAGACAGATCAATTGAAATTATTCAGGCTGAGGAACAGAAAGACAAAGAATGAAAAAAAGGATGGAGCTCAAGGACCTGTGGGACACCACTGAGATTATTAACATGCGCAGAATGGAGTTCCACAAGGAGACAGGGAGAAAGGGGCAGAAATACTACTTGAAGACATGTTGG